TTTATTTTCTAAAATTTGATTGTTGAATTTATATTTTTTTGGCACATTTTACTCAATTGCAACTTCTATAATCCTTGAGTAATTGATTAAAAGATTTACTTACTTGCTTATCAAATGTAAACTTTGTGTAAGGAAAATAAATTTCTAATAAAACAAATGATTATGCATAAAACAATATTGGCAATACGAATTACTACAAACAGGATGGCAAACGCCATCTGTAGTATGTTGCTATTTTTAGTGGAATTCAAAAATGTTCAACGAGGTCCATAAGTATATGGACCTGTCAAACTGAATCCATGGTAATAGTTTTTCTTCCATTGGAACTTGCTCTGTGTTCTTAAATCCATTGGTGAAAGGATTAAATCGTTTGTCCAATGTATACTATGTTTAAGTAGAAGTTGTTTCCAATCGAGTCGAATAATAAGCCTTATTACCTACTTGATAATCTCGAGTCGAATAGTAATGTTTATGGTTCAAATCTGGTTTACATACATAATATCGTTTATGTGTCGTGCAGTCATATTCGTGATGCATTTCTATCGTTTTCAAATAAAATTTTTATGTCTGTGACTGGAAGTCGAACTGCATTTTATATTATTAAGTGATGTGGTTACAAATTTACAAGAACTGGCATTACAAAATACCATTTCTGTTGGTGACGGTGAATAAATTATTGACGATGAAAAATTAGCAAAAATTGTCCACATTATGCCTTCAAATAATTGACCAATTCACTCATTAGCAGTTCTTAAGTTTGCATTTACCAATAGAATTATGTTAATTATTAAGTGCAGTTTATCTACCATTTATATATCACTAGTGACCCGCCCCAGCTTCGCACGGGTGCAATGCTGATACTAAATATATTTTTGTTTTGTTTAGATTATTATCGAAAAGGGGAAATCTTCAAAAGATACCCCCTGAACATACTTAATATGCTACAGAATGTCTTTATATACAACATTCACAGATTTTTTTGTCATTAGATAATACAAACCGGCCTCCCGACCGGTACCGCCGCAACCGCTATGTCCCTGCATTTTAAATCTGTAATATCTTCGAAAATATTCATTTAAATTACATGCTCTAAAGGGCCATATTGATTTATATTAAATGCACAATGTATTTAAGGTACTTCATTGGATAAGAATTAATGCTGTATTGCCTACAATCGCTTCGTAAATAAGTCATTATTTCTCATAAAAAGTAAAGGATAAAAATGGTTATTGTGGGTTATCCCTCAGAGATAGACATATATCATCAGGGACTTTTTTGTAGACTCTTTTAAGATGTACAATATTGTAGTACATTATTTTGATCTATCTCGTAGGGTTCAGCCAGCGTTTGCAATATAAGAGCAAAAAATGTGTTTTTTTATTTACGACATCACATTAGAAACCTCTAAAATTATCAGTGTTTCCCTACTATATTATGCATGTATTATACATATAAACCTTCCTCTTGAATCACTCTATCTTTTAAAAAAACCGCATCAAAATCCGTTGCGTAGTTTTAAAGATTTAAGCATACATAGGGACAGACAGCGGGAAAGCGACTTTGTTTTATACTATGTAGTGATAAGACAAAAAAAACTACGAATATAATTATTATTATGCATTGCATATGTGTAAAGTCGTAGACACCAGACACATAATAGAATTTATGATGGCAGCATATGCGAATACTGATCTGTTTTGTGCTTCGTGCTACATAAAATTTTATTATTAATGCTAAAAAATATTTATTTGTTTTGTGTTTGTTGCATCACCTACTTACAGTTGCATTAAAAGCAGTCGTCTTTTAAATGTGTGGCTTGCTTTTCGCTTAGTTTTCCCTAGTTTTCTTTTTTATATAATTGCAACTAAAACATGTCAAAATTGAGACTATTACATGTTACTTAATAAATTCTGCTATTTCTACGTCAAATCCAGTCATTTACAATCGAAAATTGTAATTTTTGCGTTGTTATAAAAATTTAAGTTTCTCCGTGTCATAATGTCAGATTCAAGAAACTACAGTACTCGCTCTTTAACATGACACAAAATCAATTATCAACAAAACAGTATTACTTTATAGAAAAATGTACCTACAGCTGGTTTTGGGACATATTGGCCGTTGCCTGCAAAGAAGAAAAATATTCACATGAGCGTGAAAACCAGCACTATATTGCCTTCCTCACTTTGTATATTTTTGAATTTCCAATAAACAATGCAATAAGCAAAAGACTTTAGTTGTTTCCGTTTTCACTGGGCCGTGGCAAAATGCTTAGCGGGTCTTAAAATAGAAAACTAACCGTTCCTTTTATTACGAAGTAGCCGGCTCGAACCCGAACAGAATGACACGTTTCCTAATGAAAACTTTAATTGGCCTCGTGTAAGGAAGATAAATGGCCTGAAACTTGAAAACTTACCGACACCGCCCCATTCTTATGCACTTGATTTACAGTTTCCATTACTATTACAAAACGTCCGACCGATATTCATATACACATATTCAACACTACATTGTTTGTCGGTTGAAAAAGTTACATTGAAAATGGTGTCGTAGATCGATTGGATTGTCTTGAAAAAAATTAGTTTTATGTGGTCGTCAATGATTTGTAACACGTATTTAAGTCATTAATGAGAGCGATGCCGCGGGTAAAACCTAATAAACTTTTTTCTCTTATTTTTGGCATGCATTTTATTAGTGATTTTTGGTGTTTTCATGGGGTCTTTATGGTCATCACGCACTGGTTGGACACACACCACTGTTTTCTATCTTGGGCCAATCTTCGTATTTCTCTAGAATTGCAACTTCAACTTCCCTTACTATTTATTGATGAACAGTAATCTAATCTAGGTGTTTCTCTGCCCCTATCTACTCCTGTTTCTGTGTCTAATATGTCTCTCATTAGCACTTTAAGCCTCAGAATGTGCAAAAATTATGAGTCAGAAAATGGAAAATTAAGGGTTACTAATTAATACGGATTAAATGATTAACATTTGTTTCAATCACTTGACAACCCCCGCTTTATTATTCTACTCGTCCCTTAATTTATTTTTGTTTATCGTGTCTCTTATTATAGAGTTTTACAGATTCTGTCAGACTACAATTCAGAATGTGTCTATTGCTGCATTATATTCCAGACAAAAGTCGTGATATTATCGGGAAATCTTTTTAAGTAGGTCACAGGTTTATCTTCCATCTTGTGCATTAACTATGAAGTACTTTTACTAGCACTTTACTCTGACTCATGATAATCAGTGGTTAAACTCGATATCACCTACAGAAAATATTATTTATTAATTGACACTATATAGGCAAGACACTAAATGCTATTCGGAATTATTTTTAATGTAATGGATTCAATAAATTACACATATTCGAAATTTTTGTAGTGTAGCGACCACGAGCGTGATTGTGTGAGCGGCTTATCGATTCGCCGACTAGCTGCGGACGCTTTTCTTCATGTGCGCCATATCTGTAAACGTGTGTGTCGTGCCTGCGTTCCGGGAAAGCAATTAAACCGTTCAAAGAAAACGAGACTTCTCTGGACGGCTGGAGAACGTTCCCGAAAGGAGGCAAGGGAGTATAAAAAGGAAGAGACGATCGCCGAAGTAGAGTAGAAATAAATTGACCGTCGCAGAAGTGAATCAAGAAATAAATTGAAAGTGATAGAAGTGAAATAAATAGAACAGTGAATAGTAACGGTAGTGTAAATAAATAGAATAATTACCTAAGTTTAGTAATAATTTAATAGTGTTTTTAAGTTGAATAATAATTAGTGTAAATAAATAGTTCTCTTCTTAAAAGTTAATTTGTTAAACCCACGAGCATTACAGTAGACTCTTATCTGTCTGATTGTATATATAATACATTTGATAAATATACGCCATCTATCGAGGAACTTTTTGTACAAAAATAAGTACTTAAGGATAAAACATGTAGGCAGTATATTTTTAGATACGACAAATAACTATATTTTTTAGTTTTATTTGTTTTACAGTAAATAATTTGATCACAGTCACGAGATTGCCTGAATAAAATTTGTGAGGTTCAATGGCATGATGTTTGTGGAGTTTGCCAAAATTTTGATAAGTTATAGCAAGTGCGACTCTGGTTCTAGCAAACAGGAAAGTGATTTCTAAAATATCTTATTAAATTTGCATTTCACTGACCATAAAATTACTCTATCCATATTTAATTGTTGCGTTGAGTTGTATATCTGCAGTAAATAAATGTCCTGTTTGATTTGTAGCGTTCTGATTTTGATGATACTCAATATTTTACAAAAATTAACGATTGTAGATTTATAACTACATTATTGTGACGGGAAACAACAATAATAGTAATAATATAAAAGATTACAATAAAACAACACACTTGGAAAAAGATTTATTCGCAAAGCTATGACGTTTCGACGGTTAGGTCAATATAAAGGTTGTCACACACCTGTCCGTTTCGTTCCGTCATGTCGAGTGCTGTTAAAATGTAGATGGAATAAAAACAACTTAAACAACATTCACCAACGGATAATGACCAAATCGTCAAGACGCAACTGATTTGGCAGTAAATCCTTTTGGTGAAACTTAACTAATCGTTTTATTTTAATGTTTTATTAAAACGTTATTTTTGTAAAATCTTAGTTAAAATCGTAAAAATTTGGGCGGTTGGGTATCGTGGTCGATGGTGCAACGCACTTGCAATATAATCATGACGATATTCCATATTATAACGCAATCTAACCTAACCTTAACCCTTGATATACATCACTTCACCATGCCCTAATCTATGTCTATGAGTCCTAACATTTCCCACAAACCAATCGGGGAATCCTTTCCTATCATAACTGAACGTAAGCCCAAGGAAGATACTATTCTTACCGTATTCGTCAATTTCTGTGATCAATTTAGGCATTTGAATATGCTTCTATTTTTGATTTTTGTTCGCATTTGTTTTTAATGTAATAATTGAGTAGTAGACATGCAAATTAAATATTTTCTCGTTTGTTTCAGTTTGTGGAGATATACACGGGCAATTTTATGATCTCATGAAATTGTTTGAGGTGGGCGGCCCACCTGCAAACACAAAGTACCTTTTTCTCGGTGATTACGTCGATAGGGGATATTTTAGTATAGAGGTAAGTCATGCTTATTATTAATTTAATTATTTTAGTAGATAATGCGTGTGTAATCATGTGATGTTTGTTAAAGGCAAGGAATGATAAGCGACATAAAAATATGTTCATGTGTACTTATAAATGTATGAAATATGTGCCGATGTGGTCGCATAAGGGATTCTGTAAAAGGGATTTCAAGTATCCGGGAAAAGGAATTTATGAAAATTAAGTCGAAACACTGCGATCGTTCATAAAATACGTACGTAAATAAGGGGAAGAGATGGGTGTTGCTTAGCGTGACGAGATATGACAAGAGGGGAGGAGGGGTCTAAGGTCTAAGGAAATGTGACGTTCGGAGTTTATCAGTATTATTTTGGTGTTTTTCTAAACTTGACATTTTTTAAAATTTATCATTTCGATGGAAAGTAATTCTCATTGCTACTTTCAATCATAAAAAATCGATTATAAGAGGGAAGGGAGGTGAACTAGCTTTTGTGACGCAATATTTTTCGGGTGGTGTAATTTAGCGTGACGAAAGGGGAGGAGAAGTTGTTGGGAGGAATGTGATGTTTTATTTGCTCTTTTATGGTTGAAAAATGAAACAGAGGTAGCGAAGATAGTGGGGGGGGGGGGTGATTGGATCAAGAATAATAAAAATCTTTTTTCGTTACGTTTTACATTTTAGTAGTGATGGATTTTCTCTAAAAATGAATTGTAGAGGTTGGTTAATAAAGGGTCATTTATATAATACGTCACGTCGCGAGGTGACGAGGGGTCTTGGAGTAGCGTGACGAAATGTAACAAAGGGGTAGGGCGGTCACGGAGAAACGTGATGTTTGTATAACTTATCAAAACTTTTCGTATGAACTTTTAGAGGTCATTTTTTACATTATTTTAAGAATTTTTATTTTTTCCTTTTCTAAAAGGGTAATTTTTTATATTAGTTGACATTGGAATTGAGACATGAAGTTTAGTCAGGTAGGTAGTACTCACCATATAGAATCGTTTGGTAGTATTAATTCCATGCGGAAACCAATGTAGCTTGAGATACAGGCTCCTAAAGTTTTCTTAATTGGAGGAAATTCCGGTTGGTACGGCCCTGGCTGCAGCCCTTCATCAGCTGTTCTCGCCAAATATGCATTGATGACGTCATTGTTTAGTTAGGTAGATTTATGATAGACTGGAGGATCCTTAATGCCCCTGCCCGCCGAAGGCGGGCTGATACATTAGAATAATGTTAGGAAGATATGTTTTAGGAGAAACGATGTTTGACGGGAACAGCTGGCGGGAGGCTGAAGCCAGGGCCGTACCTACCGGATTTTCCTCCGATTATAAAAAATTTAAGAGCCTGTATCTCAGTCACATTGATTTTTAAACAAATAATAAACAACATTCTAGTAAATACTACTACACTACTTTACTTGGTGAGTACTACCTACCTCACTAAACTTCATGTCTCAATTCCAATGTCAACTAATGTAAAAAATTNGCGCTGGTGAGATCCAAAAAGATCGAAATCGCGATCCGCGTCTGGCAGTTTCGACAGAATACAGACCACTTCGAATTATTTTATTCGATTATGGTAACGTGCCTATCACGTTGAGGTTAGCTATGCTGGGATTCGTCTGAGCAAGTAGATATCCATATATTTAAATGGAGTTTGTTGGAGCATACGTAATCCTAAAATGTAGCATCGTACTACAGATGGCGTTTACCGCGCCATTTGTGGTATTTTCTAAAGTCACAGATAATTATCTTTAAATTACTTCGAGTAAACGAAATTGAAAAGAAAACACGAACATACTTAATCATATATGTAGATAAATAAGTTTCCAGATGTGAATGTAGATTGTGATGTTATATTGCTTCGTGGGCTTTATAATGTTCAGAAATGAAATGGACCGGAAATTGCACGGTGCTCATCTTTTATTGTATTTTTATATGATTATCAGTTTGGAGTGCTGCTCGAGGCTGTGGCAGAGTCGCACTCGGAATTTGGAAAATGGGAAATGCGCGCACGCTTCATAGACCTTTCTAAACAATAAAAGAATATATTTTATATACGACGAAGTTTTTGAAGCTACTTGTTTTATTGGAAATCTTATTTTATCAAGCAAAGCACTCAGATCAAAATAACAAGAAATGTGCTAGAGTTATGTTCTAATGTGCTACTTCACAAAATTCGTTATCCGTATAAACAGTGACGTACTACTACATTTTTTTTAAATTAAGCCATTTTTGGGTTAGCTTAGGTTAGGCAGAAGAAGACCTAAATTAGATTATTATTCGTTGTTTGCCGTGAAATCACAAGCAGTATTTTCTCAAAATGTTCGAGCGAATGAAACTCGATATAAAACACTATGTACAGACTCTATTTACAAATGAATTATTAACTATGAAATAACGGATTACAACTATAGGCACAACGAAGAAAATATGAATTAAAAACGCAAGTTAACAAGAAGAAGAACAAAACGTAACTAACTCTAAGTTATGTGACAAAATCAAAAATTGTTCTGGTGCTACCAGCAATACTTAGTGTGCAACAAAAGAATTTTAAAACTTTTCTTAAAACTTTTTGGGTGTTTCATTCCCACCAGCCAGTAATGCTGGTGGGCGGGCAGTCCCTCCGGACTGTGCCGGAAGGTAGGGCGGAAGGCCCTCTTCACCAGCCTGCTTTCAGGAATCGTGGGAATGGGTGGGTGGTGGTTCGGGTGAGAAAGATGAGACGGACGAAATGAAACAGTCGAAATGGGTACAGAGCCCCCGCCCATGTAGATCTATTACTACCGGTACGTTACAATTTAGTTTTATTGCAGTGTTTTGTTGTTGCTGCGATAGCGATAGGATCATACATAAAGACTATATTATCGGCTATAAAATTTTGTCCATTAAACGTCAAATTGTCCGTTAAATTATGACAAATTTGAATATTTAATATCCATTAGAAACATCTGCACTGACCCAGTTTTTTTTTTGGTTCCCCGAAGTTTGCAAACTACACACAAATACATGCAAAAACATTTCGAGGAGTCTAGATTTACGAAGGCAACTCGGAGCGAGCATAACATTCTCTATTCTACGGATTTAATGCCGCTTCATTTAAATTTAATTGAATTGTGATCTGCGTGTTTCATTGTAGGGAACAATCAGGGATGTTTGCGCTAATGTACAGCCCTTGTTACGAAATCGGAAGCTGTCCTGATTTTGAAGTTTTCGTTTCTCTTACATTCGTTATTGTAATTTTTTCCCCAATGAGTCACGTACTAACATTTGAAGGGATAAAAAAATGATATACAGTGTAAACTCTATATAACGACACTTGAGGGACCGAACATTTTTCGGCGTTATAAAGAGTGGTCGTTAAATGGAGAGAAATAAAAGATATTATTTTACTATTCTATAATAATATGCATTTACCAATATAGCAAACATTTTGCACACGAACATTATTATTCATACATTGCGTATAGCCTGTTATCTTCGTCTGATGTTTTTTGCTGCTCCAATATTTTAATTGTATTTTGTTACGTATCTTACTCATATCTTGAGATACTGCTGGATCAATTT